TCAGATCCCACATGCAGACCGGTTCCCGCTCACTGGCTGAGCGAGGCGCGGGAGCAACACCGAGGGTTGCGATCCCGTTGCTGGTCCCGGTCCGGTAGGGGCGCGACACTGAGGGTTGCGCTCCGTTGCCGGACATGAAAAAAGACAAAAAAAAAAAAAAAAAAATCCCCGTTTTGTATTCTGCACAGCACCTGGTGGCTGAGCTTACCAGGGCTTTATGAGCATCATGTCTTCACCCGGGGGAGAGAAAGTGTCAGGAGCGCTGGCGTGTAGTTGGTGCTTGGTACCACTAATGAATGCTAAAAGTGCCCCGTTTTCTCCTCCTCGCTCAGAAGTGGAGTAGAGGATCCGAAGCAGAAGCACATGCAGCAGCTCCAGGGGTCCTCTGTAGCTCATCTCCCAGTTTTCAGTTTCAAATTACAAAATTGAGAAAGTTAGCACTTATCCAGGGTTTCATGGGGAACAGGTATGTCCATAGTAGTAGTCAGGGCTAGAGGACCGACCCTAGAACGTGCCTGTGTGTGTCTCGAAGCCTCTACTGAAGTGTAGTGTACATCTGAATTTCTGCAACATGGTCATTTCTCTCTGTGAGCAGAGGGCAGGTGGCTGACTGTGTCTCCCATGCACCTCCAGGCTCAGATCCACCTGCTTGGAAATATCGTGATCTGGGCCTCAGGCAGCCTCGCCACAGCAGCCTATACTCTGCTCTTCTTCTGGTACCTGTTCAGACGGCGAAGACATGTCTGTGACCTCCCCGAGGGTTAGTGCAGCATGCACGTGCCTCATCTCTATGCTACTTCCTTATTCTGATGAGAGTTTGTTGTGCTTCGGGTGACAACCTTAAGGCACCCTCTTTGTTTCTGTGTTGGAGGAACCTATTTTTGTCTACTAGAGACATAATGTTGTAATTAAGATCTCACGTTGCCTTAGAGGCTGCTGCAGTGAAGTGCTCTCTAACCTTAGTACCTGCTGCCTGCATGCTCCAGAAAAGGCTGGATAGAACCAAGTGGCCAGCAGGCATGCTGAGTCAGGGGTGGTGGTGGTTTGCAACTAACAGCAGCCCACTTAAAACCGTCTTGAAACAGAAAAGGAAAAACCACCCAGTGTAGGGCGGGTTTCCCTAGGGCCTGGGCCAGTCCCTCCACCGACTCCCCCTGCTCCACCAGGCTGGTGGACAGATATGCTCTCCCNGGTTGTTAGGATCTGGGAGGAAGCTACAAAAGTTTTTATGACACAGTCTATCTTTCCTCCCGAGAGTGTGGGAAGGATTGGGAGAAGTAGAAGTCAGGGACGTACACATGTGTAGACCCAGCCTGCATTGGCAGCGCTGGCCTGAGATGAGCCCTCCCCTGCAGATGCCTGGCTGCGCTGGGCACTGGCTGGGGCCCTGTGTGCCGGGGGCTGGGCGGTGAACTTCCTGCCCTTCTTCCTGATGGAGAAGACACTCTTCCTCTACCACTACCTGCCCGCGCTCACCTTCCAGATCCTCCTGCTCCCTGTGGTCTTGCAGCACATCAGTGACCACCTGTGCAGGTATGGGGGCTTTGCAGACAGCAGCCCTTTGCCAGGTACCAGATGGGGTCCAGGGGGTTAACGCAGAATGGGTTCAATTCACAAAGGAGGCACGGACAGGACACTGCAAGAGTGCAGAGGGAGGAGGCATGGCTGGCTGGGAGATGGCAGTAGCCGAGTGGGATGGGAGAGCTGGAGAGGGCGCTGTGGCCTGCAGGACACCGGGAGACTTGGTGTCTCTGGAGCAGCCGCTGGTCACTGGCCGGATTGTTCGTGATGTGGTAATGAGATAACCGAGATAAACTGAGAACGCTTATAACTAGAGTACGCCCCAGAGGCCGGAGCAGAGGGAGTGAACCTCCTGGTGTCCGAGGTGGCCGTGACGTGATGGCGTGGGGGCAGGGCCACTCCTCTGTATCCGTGTCCAATGGGCCAGAGGCGGTGGAGATCCTGGAAGCAGAGTAAGGACGGTATGCTCAGTGCGCCCAGGCAGGAGTGATGTGGGCTGACGGTGAGGTCAAGGTGGCCGGAGAAGCAGAAAGGACAGGGAGGTCTGAGAAACATGCAGGTAACGACAGATGCAAGAGGACAGCCAGGCAGGACAGCTGCAAGGGGGACAAGCCAGTCCTCAGCCTGCTCCGCACCCTGATGCCTGCAGGTCCCAGCTCCAGAGGAGCCTCTTCAGCGCCCTGGTGGTGGCTTGGTTTTCTTCTGCATGTCACGTGTCTAACACGCTGCGCCCACTGACCTATGGGGACAGGTCACTCTCACCAAGTGAACTCAGGGCCCTTCGCTGGAAAGACAGCTGGGACATCTTGATCCGAAAATAATAGCAGAACACAGCAAACGAGGTCAGGACAAGATGGACTGTCTTCTATGAACGTATTTGTCTTTAACAAGCAGAATGGCTCTAAGCTCGGAGGAGCCTGGCCAGGGTTGGCGAGGACTTTACTGGGATTTACTGTGGTTTCATTCTTGAAACAGTCCTCTGATGAACATTTCATTTTCAGTTTATTTTTTCCAGTGAAGAACATCCCTCCTGCAGGTCCTCTCACTCCTGAGACACCCCCTAAACTAAGACACGTTGGGTCTTCCAGTGGCTGGTGTAGGACTCAGGAAGAAGGAAGAAAGTCATGGGCCAGTGACAGAGTAAGTCACCTCCTAACCAGACCAAGCCCAGGTCTTTGCAAACAGCTGTAGGTTCATGGGCCCGATCTTCCCCCATGAACACCCACTCAACCTGAGCAGGGTCCTGCCCCTGCCTTCTTGGGCCTTGCAGGACTCATCTGACAGCTCGGTGTCAAATAAGCTGTTTGAACAGTAAGACATTTATGAGGCTTACCTGGGACCCTCTGGTCACTGTACTGAATGACTGTGACCATGCTTCTTGCTGTTGCTGTATTTGGAAAAAACCCTTCTCTGAGATTTTGCTGAGACATGTGCAAGTGGCATCTCCCTCTTCACCGGTCCAGGTTTGTCATGTTGCCTTGTCCTGAATTTGCCTTTTTTTGTATAATTAAAAAAGGGACAAACTGGCATCCGTATTTGGTGTTATTTATTGATTCGCCCTCCAAAAGGGCATAGACTTGACAAAACTGTTACATAGTTATCAGAAACCAGCCACAGAGCTCAACTAACGTCACCTCTTGTGTAACTACAGTGAGTTAGACTCAACAGGAAGAACTCAGAAGTGCCTGTGCAGTTTAGCTTGTGGCAGTGGCAAAGGATGTTTTCACAGAAGCGGCTGTCACATGGGAGGGAGGACAAGCTTGGACGACACAGACACAGGTGAGCTCTGGAATGGCATAAAGGAGGCAGGCTGGCTTCAGCGCCATGTTCACTTGCACCTCTATAGCCCAGTGTGTGCCCGGCTGGAGGCGACATGCTGTGGACAGAACATGGACATGGCTACAAAGGGGACGGCCTGTCCACAGACAGCACCTTGAGCTCAGGGGGCTCCTACAAGGGTGGGAGAGGCCCTGGCCTGTGCGGGATGTAGCGTGGACACGTTCTAGCCAGAGGAGACCTGACCACCAGCTGCCTTCTGCCCCACCATGCAGGTGCCAGGCAGGCTCAGCCTTCTGTGCTTGACGCTGGTTAAAAAAATGCTGGTTGTTCCCCAGAGTTCCTGCCACTCTCTACCTTTGAGGTCCAGGCAAGGAAGAGAGAAACATCTCTGTAGTTCCTCAGGTCAGTGTTTACCATGCTGGACCACAACCTGTTGGTGGATCATGAAATTAGGTTTATAGGTCACAACCAGCTATGTGTTATGAAAACAATAAAATAGAAAATGTTAGAATGTGTAACATGTACAAAAGGAGAGTATTCTCTCTTAAAACTTTAGTTTCAGTTAAATGTATTAACCAGATCATACTGGAAAACGTCTCTCTCACTTGTGGGTTCACTGTCAAAAAACACTGGGGCAGCCCCAGTATCCAGGCTGTTTCCTCAGTTTTCCCCAAAATATGTGATTTGCATTCCTTCTAACTGCACATTCTGGGGAATTTCTCAATGACCTAAAGAGATTTTTAAACCTTCTGAAACATGAGGCAGGTGAGAACATCAGGCATGCCCTGTCTATATCCTGTCAAACTGAGTTTGAATAACATATCTGGGTTTCCACTCATAAACGAGGCCTTAATCTTAACGCCACCATGGGACACACTGAGAGGAAGTGGCGCTTGTGTGGTTAGGGGCAGGTGTGCATCTCCAGGCCCAGTCCCTGAACACACGTGTCTGTCGGGGGCACCTGCCCGGGGGCTCAGGGAGCAGCACACGACCGCTCCTCAGTGGGGTCTGCTGCTGGACTCCAAGTGCGACCGTTTGCCAGAGGTCAGCACCCCTGGGTGGTCTCCTGGCTCAGAAAAGGTCCTCTTGTAGCTCCGCCCATTGGATCCTCCTCGGTGCCATTTGCAGATGTCACCATTCAGAATGTCCTGGATGTGCTGCACGATCAGATTAATGGCAACTGCAGCAGGAGACACACGAGAGGCGGGTTAGCTATGTCCACTCTCCGTCACATGCAGGACACCAGCATGAGGGCTGCTGCCCCTCACCCAGCTTCAACCTCCCCAGCAGCGGCCCTCAGCCAGCAGTGACAGTGACAACCCCAGCACGACCCACTGGAGCACAGGTCTTTTAAAATACTTCTGCTAGGGCCAGCCCGTGGCTCACTCGGGAGAGTGCGGTACTGATTTAACACCAAGGCCACGGGTTCGGATCCCTATATAGGGATGGCTAGTTGGCTCACTTGGGAGAGCGTGGTGCTGACAACACCAAGTCAAGGGTTAAGATGCCCTTACCAGTCATCTTTTAT